TAAAGTGTAATGTAAATGAAGTAAAACATAATTTTTTTTCTTAACTAGAGGGAGCAAAGGGAAGGTGAAAATACATATTCATTTATGACTGATGGAAGGGTGAAAAGCCAAAACCTAGTGTGCTGGAGGGTTAAAATGTTCCTTGATAAACTCAAGTATATGAACTAGACTGTCATTGTAATTTGAGTAGGAAAACTCAAACTATTCAGAAATGTATCCTACAAAATCAATACATATTTGCTTGTCAGCAGAAACTCATAAAGATGAACAGTGCTCTGGCAATACAGCCATGATTAAAAATGTGAAAACCAGCAAGAAAAAATCTGATGATAGTTAAGCAACACTAGCGCAAGCTACAAGCCTTAGCAACTAACAAACAATGAAAAGATTCAGAGCTCTGTCATTCCACAAGATCTTGCTAGTACATTCAAGGAAGAAAATAACATTGAAGTTGGCCTCAATGCATAAAGTCCTCTGCTGCCAGGAACATTGCTATTTGTTGTCAAGGCTACTGGCTTTGGCCTTGAGCTCTTGTTCATTGTGGGCTGTAGATAACTGCTGTGCAGGACAGACTTTCGTCTAGATCATTAAAAGCAGAGCGTGGTTGCTATTTGTGTTTTGTTGCTGAGAGTAATGTTTTTGCTTTAAGCAGAGATGTATTCAATAACTAAATCTCTCCTGGGTGCAGATTTTGCTCCTGATTACTATCTGGAGATGCAGTGGTTCCTAATGTTTCTCTGCACCAGAAGCTTCTCACTGAAGGCTGGTTCCTTCCAGCCACCAGGTCTAGACTCAATGCAGTACCACAGTGCCTGAACCCTTCTACATAATTTCTTGGGGTGACGACTCTGGCAGTGGAAAAGAAACAGCAGAACAAGGTGCATATTAAATTAGAGAATGGTGCCTACTAGGTGGCCATGTGAGGTCACCCTACAGGCTGCTGTGATTGCCACATTGGATGACTTTCTCCTGAGTGAGTCTGGGAGGTCTTTTACTCATCTCAGGAAAGCGGAAACAAGAAAAATGGAACTTTTGCTTTTTGATTCTGAAGAGGTTTAGACAACACCACAAAAGTTTACTGTAATTAATCAAAGGGGCTTCCTGTTTAGGAATGCCTCTACCAAATATTAGCTTTTTCTGTTTCAGAGGGACCTTTCAAAGATAAGCAAAGATATAGACACCTCAGAGATTAATCAAATGAATCAAATGTTATCATTAACTTTAGATAGCATGTTGATGACAAGAATTATACTTGTTATCAGACGTGACTTAAAGAAAAAAAAGTTAAGTTTAAAAACTGTGTTTTTAAGTGATATATCTTCCTGGCCAGGGGAAATTAAAGGAGAATAACTTCAGAAGCAAAAATAATGATAATTGCGGGCAATTGTTACTGTGTTACTGGGAAGAGATGCTGGATTCAGGTTGATCTTAGAACAACTCAAATACTGTTGCCTAGGTAGCAAAAATAATCCAATCTTTAATTCCTACAGTAAATGTCATTTCATTTTAGAGATGCTCTTAGGATTTAATTCTTTGGTTTTGGTTTTGCTTTCTTCTCCTGAATTAAACATGAAAGTGTCTGAGGCACTCTATTTTCAGTTTTGGAGGAACCTAAGACTAAAGTTATACATTTGTAGAAAGAAAATATCTAGCAAATCACTAATCACTAATAATGATTCAGTTTATTGCTGCCTTTGAATTGCATAAGTGACATCTTCTAGGTCTGGAGCCCTTGTATCTTTCAGTCAAATATGATTGAAATTGACTCACATATCCAAAAGCATTTGGAGTGTAAGAGAAATGTAAGGCAAAGATTTGTGAGAAGAATGTTTAAATTTAAATTGGCTCATAGCTATCAGAGTTGCTTACAGTCTGTACTTGGAAAGTATGCAACGTATTTCTCCTTTAGCCAAAGTAACCACAGTGAGTTCTAGTGACTAGCTCTGTGTCAAAGGCAGTAGTGAGTTATCTTGAACTTCAGTTCTGGTGTCCTCACCACCATTTTTCCAATTGGTTTATGAAATTAAGTCTAGTTATTTAATTTCTGTGGCCATCACTTTCACTTTTAGTAAACTGGAGATAGTGAACCTTAGCCAACTTTGGAATGTGAAGAGAGTTATATGCATTAGTACTATTACAAGAATTTTAATACTTCAGATCTCCTCTTACCAGAAAGAGTGAAAAGGCATCTTAGGATATTTTGTGATAATTAACAGTAAACATTGAAACTTGAAAGTTACGTGGTATCAATAAATCATGAAGTCATTCTTCTCATAATCCCTTATAGATTGTTATAATACTCTTTTTTTAAATGAATGGTGAATATTCTAATATTGAGAGCTTTCTATATATAATTTCTTTTCTGAAAAGAATACCTTTTATGGATTGGCTACAACTTTGCTTAGAAAGGAAACATTCAAGCTTCAGCTTAGCATCCCAGCTATACCACTTTAAATCACAGATTTACATAAAAATAATAAGCAGTGTTGTCATTGCTATACCTCCTGTCAGTATCTCATGCTTGGTCAAGTGTGTTCATCAAGGTTCTTGTCTTCTTGAAATATGACTGCTGTAACATCATGGTGGCTTCTGTCAGATAATGCAGCTGTCTTGAGCTCTCACATATGAGGAAAAAAAACCCAAAACATCTATAGCCCTCTGACAAACCCTTAAAAAAAAATTGTGTTTCTAATTAGATACATATAATAGAGAGTACCACAGGGATTTGTTCATTGTCACAGACCTTCAGAGCTGAATTTCTATAACAGTTTGCTGAAGCACATAGACAACAAGAGGCATTTATGACTGTGTTTGATCCAGAGAGATAGGTTAGATCTGAAGCACCTGAAATAAGAAGCAGTGGGAAGCAGAAGCATCCTTGTATTTCGAGATAATTATATTCAGTTTATCCGCAGAATTCAGGCAGCAAACACTTATATAACATTTCAGAAGGAAGCAATTTAAAAAAATACAGTTAAGAGATATTTTTAAACCTCATCTGTAGTCCAATTATAGCAGACAATTATTAAAAAAGTATATCTAAAAGACAGATAAATTTTCCTTTTAGAGAGAATGGGGATGTGGTTGCAACAGGAAATAGACTATATAACAGCAAAGAGAACTTTCATTTCTTCATATAAACATATGACTATTTGCTAAGAGAAGCAGCTCCAAAGTACCTTGGAATTCTCTGCTAAATGTGCTGTGCATAGGAGCTTTTTCACAATATTTGGAATCAAGTGAAAAATGGCATGATCAAGTTTTGCTATTAATGGACTTTGAAACATAGTAACTTACTTAAAATTAATGGACTTAACGTTTCTCTTAAAAACAAACAAAAAACCCCCCACAAATCTGAGGAATTAAAGGCATTGAATCTGATGCAAAACAGCACTTCAAAGAGAAATGCAAGAAGAATCCCGCATAGGTTGTTGCTGAATTTAGAGAATGAGATCGTCATTCATGACAAACAATGGTTAGGTGTATACTATCTACCTCTTACAAAATTATATATTCTGAAGTGTTGTCTGCTTCATCAGAGGGTGATGTAAAACAAAGGAAAGCAGAAAAATCCCAATAATGCTAAACATAATTGAGAATGGTAGCTTAGCAAAATTTAACCAGTCCATTTTAGAGAAAAGACAACCAAACATTAGTTCTATGAATACTTGACAGAAATGGGTTGCTAATATAAAATGAGGAAATAACCTTCAGCTGTAACAGGTAGAGAATTGTGTCACATCTTTGTCATTGTATTTCACAGATATGCAGTACCATGAATGTAATGAAATTAGAAAACATGCAGAGTTGAATTATGAATAACTAGAGGATAGTAACAAAAATCATTAGGAAGAACAGCTGTACATCCAAAGGTTGTTAAAGTTGTTGCTCTTACCAGTGTCAATAGCAGCTCAAACTTTGTTACCCATGATCCTCCAGCAGTACAGAAAGGAAATGTAGTTTCTAATCCCAGCACACGAGGTGTTCTGAATAGAAAATACATTAAAGCATTGGACAGAAGGAGGAAAAATATACTCCATAACTCACATGAATATACGCAAATAAGAATTTCAGTAGCACCAGTGAACAAATTCTGAGCATGAATACTCGTGTTATACGTTGTAGTTAAACATAAAAACAACAAAAAAGAAAATGGCAGTTAAAATTAGTTTGATCCTGAGGGAGCTCCTGAATAATTTTTAACTGTGATTTGGAATAACACAAAATATGTTTGTATATGCAGCTGTTACAACTGAGGAAAATCTCTACACGTTTTGTAGAAATAACATATGTATATATTCTTGAGAATAAAACTAAAGTGTTGTGAAGTATGGTAACTTCAACGATACATTGATTTATTCTAAGTTAGATATTTGTATAACCACTTAATAAATAGCTCTGTGCTTCTCACATATAGTTGATATTACATGCCTGTCTTGGAATTGCAATGTTCCCCATTTGAGCAACAATCATAGAATCATAGAATTTCTCAAGTTGGAAAAGACCCACAAGGCTCATTGAGTCCAACCCCTGGCTCCACACAGGACCACCCAAAGTCTGAACCCTATGTCTGGGAGCATTGTCTCAGCACTCCATGAATTCCAGCAGCTCAGGACCATGCCCACTACCCTCTGAGGCAGAGCCTTTCCCTAACCCACATTTGCCCCTTCCCTGATACAACTCCTTGTGCCCTTCGTACTGTCACAGAGAGCAGAAAATAAGAGAATGAGATTAGTCACATGTTTGAAAGCAGGTCTACAATCTGCTTTCTCAGATACAGATTTTCTGGTGTGACCAAGTACTCATTAGCTCATGCTAGACTGCGTCTATGAAAGACAAGAATTTGTTCTTGATTCTCTTTTATATGTAACATTTTATTCATATGCACAGTATCTACTGTCCGTTTTTGAGTTGCATTGAACTGAGGGTCTAGCAAAATACTGTTAATTCAGCTGACTCTAAAATCACTAATGCATCATTTCTCTCTTGCTCTTCTACAGTATGCTGTCTGGCTGATCCTTTGGGTTTCATGGAACGTGTTCGTTATCTGCTTCTATTTGGAGGCTGGAGACCTTTCAAAGGTAATTTACCATCAGCTACATTTAAGTCATGGGTACTGTGTTAACATGCTTCAGTTCAAAGGCTGTCTCTTCTGTATTAATCACTAGGATAGTGTGATAGAAATTTAGAGTATTCTAGATATGTTTGAAACCTCAGTCCTAGACACCTTCTGATGCCCACTACAGCAATGGCTTATGTCTTTTAAAGGAAAACTGCTTCGCTTGTTTTCCTTCCTTGTTTGAAATACGATTTGCAATACAAATTTCATCTGGATGAGAAATGCAAATTAGTGATTTCACAAATACAAAAGATTATTATCTCAAGAGTAAACAATTTTTTTTTTATTATTTTTATTTCTTACTGTTCAGCTTGCTTTTTACTTAGCTGGATTCCTTCCAGGGGTCTTGTACCACAGCATAATAATTATAAAAGAAAGTATAATCATTAAAATATATGAAGTGCTAGAATAGATTGTTATTTGGCTCTAGCAATGTTTTTTTAACCTTGTACTTTTTATACAAATGTTATGACTGAAGACTTCAATACAGTAAAAAAAAGACTGCAGGAAAAACATTTTTTTTTAAAGAATGATGTATTTATATGGTTTTATTGATACTGTAAGTGACAATACATAAAGTGGTAATTGTTAATGCACTCAAACCACCATTTCAAATCAACCCCCCTCCCCTTTCTAAAGTGAGCCCAGAGGGCTGGCAAATGGTGGGATAAAAGATTAGGAGTGGTAAAAAGCTTTGACTTAGTCTAAATATTACAGCCCATGCTGAGTTATGTTCACAGTGGTGTGAACTGACCATCATGTTGAATCCTACTTGTGAAAGAAACTACGTTCATCTCTCAACTCCCATATTTAATTGCCTTTCCCGAGTAAAGGAATTTAGACTAACTGTAAGTTACAGATGTAATTCTCTGATCCTTTGTGAGTTACTGATGTCTTATGATGCAGTTAACACTTTTATCGGAAGAATGAATGAGGTAAAGATACTTCCATACTTATATGTTCTATGAAATCACCCCCAAATTGTAGAAAATGCTGAAAACTGGGATCGTTTAGACTTGTGTGTTCAAAAGAAAGTCATTTCCTGAGGCTCTAAAATAATTTTTTGCAGGTAAACCAATGTTACACTTTTGAGGGTTCATACCTTCAGATAAGAGTAGCTTCATTAAGATCTCAGCAAACTTATAGTAAATACAAGACTTTGCGTATAGTGTCTTCTATTGGCTCAAAATGTTCTTTATTACTAAGTGAACTGATGTCTGTAACAAACCCAGCACCTGTTGTACCATTGCACTCAACCCATCTTCTCCACCTGCTCATTTCAACCACCTACATTGTTTAACTTGTAAATGTTGGGATGCTCATAATGTATTGAGAAGTGAAAGGGGGTGGGAAAGAAAGTAGAAACTAAAAACACCTGTTTGACAGTATTTTAATTAGAATAAAATTAGCCTAAGAATACTGGTAATTGCTGCTTGGAATAAAATCAGGCCAGACAACAATGCCTACACCTGGAACTGTTTTCTTCTGAAGACTTCAACTATGTGATCTGGTCTTTCTCAAACAGCCATGTGCTTCAGGTATATATTTGGCTGCAGTTAAACTGTTTATTTGGTCTATAGAGGCATTATTTACTTGGATGTGATCTGCCTGAGAATATCCAGTTGAGTACATTTCTCTACTTTAGGTTTTCAGGCCAGTAGCATTACTGAAGAGAAGAAGAAAAGCAAAAGTAAACTGAAAACGGATTTTGGAAATGGTTATAGATTGACTCATTGCCTACGGAAGTCCTAATTCACATGTGAAACAACTTTCTCTTCTCATTTCCAGCTGTGTGTGGTACACCAAAATGTCTCCAAATAATCAAATGTTTTGCAAGATTTAGGGCTTAGAAATATGTGTACAATAGAAAGGTACCCAACTATTTGGACAGACGAAGGTTATCCTCATATTCTAGATCTTTTAAAGGCTCCAACTGTTTAATATAAATAGACATCTAACGAAACTGAACATTTTTATATTTGTTTCTCAGTTATATTCACAGGTCTTGCACTGAACCTCCTTTATTATTTATATTCTCATCAGGGAATAACTGCAGCTTAAAATCTGTAATGGTACTCCCATGTATTTTTTTTTTTTTTTTTTTTATGTTTGAAATGGCACATAGAACTTTGAAAAAAAACTCTAGGTCTGAAATGGTTCTAAATAGAGAATAAAAAATAACCTTTAAGTAAGTACCAGAGGGATGCCTCTGAGGCTGTAAACCATAAGAGAGGAGCCTGCACAGCATGGTTTTAGGAATTGATAGGTTAAAATTACAGCCTAATAATAGTTCAACTGGGTATAGTTTATTTTTATATGTATAATTTATAGCTTTCTGCCAAGGAAAAGAAAAGCTTCCTTTTCCAAAAGTTTTGAGAACAGCTTTTATTCTATGTGTACATATACAAATTTTTCCACTTTATCTACAGATACAATGGAGAAATCTTATTTAAATTGTTAACATACCTTATTAAAATACACTTTTTAAACAAGTTATGCAGACAGGAGATCATGACATTTTTATGACTGTTCCTTATTACAATGAAATGGGCCTGTAAGGACTCTGAAATTTTTAGAACGATAAGATAGTGTTGTCTGAAGAGGCTGAGAAAGCTCAAAGCTCATTGTGAATAGCCATGCAAGTCTGTTTACATGCTACCATTACAGTCATATATATGCTGTGGAAAATGGCATTGCATTTTCCAAGTATTTTCCAACTTTCAAGCATAGTTAATGCCTTTGCTAATGCTCTTTCACAGCAAGCTGGAATATTTATGTCTGAGAAGGTTTCTAACAAAGAAAGTGCAATCAGTTTTTCTTAACCTTAATTATTATGTGGATCTGTGAATGAATAGCTAGAGAACCGACTTCTGAGACTTACTTTTCAGTGTCACACTTCAATAATATTTAATTAGTCAGTGTTACTATGATTTTTGGTGAGTGCCATTCTCAGTATAAGTAAGACTTTAAGCTTTCAGGATCTCTAAGTAGTCATATTTATTTTGGCCTGTGGCTAAGTCAATGTAGCATATGAAAAGCATAACCTTTCATCTTAAATGAAACAAATCTGAAGTACTAGTGAAATGAAAAAAAAAAAAAGGAAAAATAATAGAAGGTGTATATGAGAGAACCATGGTGATTCGATGACTTGTTTAAATATACCAGGAAAGAAAACAAGGAACTAGATTCAGCTGTCTTGGAAGAAAAATAAAAAACATTTAAAAAAAAAAAAAAAAAAAAAACCTAAAAAGTTAAGTCTGCCCAGCACTTCTGACCTTCTTCAGGCAGAAGTCTCATTTGCATCTCTGTGACTAAGCTACAACCTCTGAATAAAGACCCTCAATAAAGAGTGTTGCAAATGGTCATGTAATGAAGAAAGAGCACCGTTTGCTTCAAGGCTTTTAAAAGCTTCTGCTAATGATGCTTGTGGATCCCACAAGCAGCAAAGAAGCAGAATAAGATCTATTGAACTCCCATTCTTAGTTTACTGGACTTCTTTTCTGTAAAAAATGCATGGCTAAGGTTGTGAGTATGGGTAGATGTGCTGCTGTCAGTTACAGGAAGATAAGACAGAAGCTGGATAAGGGGAATCAATTAGGATCAGGGTCCAGAGCAGCCCTTATGCACATGCTCTCAACCTCATCCCAACACTTAGGTGGGGGTCACACACAGGAAGAGCCCTATGTGACCAGATGCAGGAGCTATCCTCTCACTGTAGTCTCCATGATTCCATGTGAATGTGACCAAGAACAGTTTGTGCTTTCACGGTTGCAGTTGACATAGTTTCTGTTTGGGTTTCTTGACACATATCTTACTTTTTCTGAGTAATATTGAAAGACATTTAATGTATTAAAACATAAGATTATAAGTAGTTATGTTTTCTAACAGAAAAGTTAAGTGTCTGAATGTCAAATGCTGTAGTATGAAAAAATGCCAGAATTAGGGTTGCTTGCATAAGCATAATTTAGCTCTCTCTGTACGTTTTTTTTTATATAGCTCTTAATTATGAGGTCACAATACTTTTCTTAATCTCTGTACAGCTTGGCCTATTTTAGAGATGAACTGGGTTTGGGAATTTAGTGATGTTGCCCATACGGCATCATACTCCATGGATTGCAGTAATTAGGAAAAGCTAAATAAAGGAAATAAATATATTGTGCTTTTCTTACTGTGTACAGCCATTACATATTATTTTCTTCTCAGTGGTCAGTATGTAATTCATTTCTGTATTCCAAGAAAGTAAATCCTGTTTTTCGACTCCGCTCTGAAAACATGTAGAATGTTATGAAAGCTTACATATAAAATCATGGCACCTAGAAACCCTGAGTGCAATGGTAGTAATATTTACGTAGCTTACCACGTTTACTCAAAGCCTGATTTTAGTACTTGTTCTACCAATCTTTAGATCTACTGATCTAAAATATTTATTTTAGATGAATACTAATTTGCATTCAACTGAAGTTACTTCCTTTGCTGTCATTCCGTGAGTTGCACAGAGTTGACCAGGAGCATGAAGGAGTAGGAAAGATTAAAAAAAAAGAAAAAAAAAAAGGCAAAAAACCCCCACTTATTTCATAATTTCACTTTTAAATATGATACAAAATACTGAATGGATTGTAGGTATTAAAATTTAAACTAAATAAAAATATGTAACTAGCTTGTTTTCTGCTAGGAGTTCTAAGAGAAATCAAATATTTCTGAACACATTTTCTCCTACCCCCCCTAAATATGAGAGCTGCTCCAAAAGTAGAGTGTTGTCTTTTGTTATGTTGGCCCGTGACATCAGAGGTGGGTGTTGGTGGTATGGCAGTTGAGACTGAACCTTCCAACCAATATTCCACTACATTTTTCTGCTGTGTGAGAGATGGCAGCAGAGGGGCTGTCTGATAAAATGGCATCTGATGTGGAAGTACATATGAAGCAAAGGTGTAGAATTGAATTCCTCCATGCGGAACAAATTGC